TCAAACTTGCGTTATTTGCACAGTCGATCAACCTGCAATATGCGGCCTTCCCCAGCTCTGTGTGTCAACATCCGGCGCACTTGGCAGCATGGTTCGAAAGTTGCAGCAGGGCCAACACTAACGTTCTGGGAAAGAAGGCACAGCGGACATTTCTGCAATTGTCTGTTTCTGCAGTATCTTGCTTGTAGAGGAGGCATCATTCTCTGGGCCTTTCAGCATCCAGGTTTACCGTTCCCTGCATTCTGGTTGCAGGAAGCAAGGGCACTGGCCCTTGCATGCTGTGAGACAGCCCGGGTGCTCCATGCGGAAGGCGTTGTGCACAGGGATTTTCGATTACCGAATGTTGTGTGTTTGGGGCCGCGCACAAGCGACGAAGACAGTTTGGGGACGGAGGTCGGGACTTCCGGAGGGAACGATGAGGACTTGGCATTTCTGGTAATAGATCTGGAGGGAGCCGCTGAAGAGGGGGCGGAAGTGAGCCCAGATTGTGGTCTTGCGCTTGCCAGCAGGGATGGGGTTCTGGACGAGAACGGGACATTCACTGCGGCTAGCGATATGTTTGAGATCGGCATGGTGCTGCAGTCCATCCTACGCCAGCTTGGAGCGTACCACGGTGAATCCAAGGCGTTTGTTCGGGCCCTCAAACGGAAAGAACTGAGTGCCCTAGAAGCCCTTGATCATCCTTGGTTGAGGGGACTCGGGAATTGAGAACTCGCATGAGAAGCAGCTTCAGGTCCAAGTGGAGCTTCCAAGGCCGACGAACGAGCAAGTCGAATGCCCTGAGATCATTAGATGCAATCCCTTCTTTTAGAAAATTGTTGGAGTGAGGATGTTTACTGAATCAAGACGACCCTTCTCCTTGTCCTTGTCCGTGTCCTTGTCCATGCGGAAGTAAATCTGATGGTCCTTGTCGGATTCATTCGATTGGCTAATATATGCTAGAACCAGTTCCAGCATCCTGTTTGTGACCTTTGTAATACAAATGCTATCATACGTATTGCAATATTTTGAACGGTGACACAAATAAGGAGTTGACATCAAACACTGCCAAACGTAAACAAATGCCGTGCATGCGAATGAAGGCCGACCATTGCAAATTGGAGATGTGCAAAAAGAGCATGCCTGTTGCACAAGTGTTTGCAAGTCAATCGCAATCTGGTCACTTTTGCAAGTGAACTTCGTGGTCACTTTTGCAAGTGAACCAAAGTTCGGTCAGTTAGTGCATCACAGCTGCTGCTATGTACCAAGTTCACCCTTCCACTTTAGCAACGCAAGCATGAAGTTTGGTGCAAGTTAGATTTGGACCGATAAGATGCTGCCATGTCATACCCTAGAGTACGATACATCTGCGAAAAACGAGGCGTTGCAGCCAATTCAATGTCGTGACTTGAGTGCCACGGCACCTCATCTCAATGATGCAACTGAAAGCAGTAGCCGTGAGAAGATCTCCAAGAAAGACAATCACAACAGCAACATTATCACACGTACTAGACTTGGCGCCAACAACAACAACATGAATATCAGATAAAGTTCGTTGGCCAAGCCAACTCAATGTTAGATGGTGAGCGCCTCAGCACCTCAGATGTCAATCACGATCAAGAGCAGCAGCCGTGAAGAGGTCGCCACGGCCTACAAAACCTGACAACGCCGGGCAACCAATAACAATAACAATAACAATAACAATAACAATAACAATAACAACAAAGTGCGCTGGCCAAGCCAACTCAAAGTAGCATGTGAGTGCCACGGCACCTCAGAAGTCACTCCTCACTGATACGGCCTACTCCAGCAATCATGTAGAGATCACCTCGACCAACAAAGCCGGACATCGCAAGGAGCCTCGCTCCTAACGTGCTCTGCACAGCTCGTGCCGACCGATGGTGGATAGCTTTGGCCTGACTGCGCTGAAGGCTAACAGAGATACGCTGACGATAATACGTCAGCAATCTAGACGCCTCCTCTCCAACCTGCCCCTCGTCTGCAACTCTCAGGGCGGCCGTTCGCCGGGCACACGTGCGCAGAAGGCGATCAAAGGGGCCACCGAAGCAGCCGAAGGTCTCCACGGCCGCCGGGATGAGGGTGTCGTCAGGCGAATGGTCCGCGTACTTGGCTGCCTTGGCAGCCTCAGCAACGCGTGCAGCATGTCCCCGCTCCACCGCCGACTCCGCTGCTGACCGAATGGGGTCCGCCACTGTGACTTCAACCAGAAGGCGCGGCCCCCCCCTGAGGATCCGCTGCCACAAGATCCATCACTCTCCCCTCCGTCTCACCCTCTCTCAGTGGAAAGATGCCCCTCGCCTCTCGCCGCACGCTGTAGCCCGAGTCCCGAAGGATGAAGTACAGAGCATCCCGGATGCCATCATGTGTGAGCGTGCGCTCCCCACCCCGAGAACAGCGCAGAAGGTGCTGCCCCGCTGCAATCCCCTCCGGCAGCTCCTCACCGCAGTCACATCGTCGGATCCCCGCAAGGGCCGGATGAGGCAAACCCAGCCGAATGCGCAGTGCGGTGGTGAAGCACTCGTGCGTGAAACGCAAAGACTGCATGCACGGCACCGCTCCAAGGAAAGCCCCAGCACCCACTCCCGACTCCGAAAGCAGCCTCGCTCGCCCCATGGAGTCCTCCAGGCTCTCTCTCAAACTCTCAGCAGCCCCCGTCTCGATCGCCCTCGTAAGCTGCTCCTGGATGTCCGGCACTGCTCCAAGCCCAAGCTGGTGGAAAGGTGGTAGTAGCTGTCGGGCTGAAGCAGGCAGCGCATCCCGGGCTGCTCGAAGAGTGGACTGGAAGTGGAGACCCCCAGTCTCGACGCCTGTGGTCACTGCGTCGGGAAGAGAGGGGATCCGAGACCTGACAGGCCGGGCACCTACTCAGATCCCCCTCGGCCGTCCAACAATAGCCGCGCGCACTAGGGGTCGAAACCTGAAGTCGGAGCCGGTACGGACCCATATAGTACCAATGCAATCACCGGGTACTTCCTAAGTAGGTTACTTAGGGAGAATTTCTTCTTCCCCAACAGTTGATTACAAAGTTGCATCTTTTCCAGGTATGGCCTTATATACATACATATTGGCTATTAGATCCGAGATTGAGAACTCTGTACTACTAATCTGTTATATTCTCTTCCCCAAAAAGTCAATTACAATATTGCATCTTTTCTCAGGTATGGCCTTACATACATACATATTGGCAATTTGATCCGAGAGGGAAAACTCTCTACTACTAATCTGTTATATTATCTTCTCCAAAAAGTCAATTACAATATTACATCTTTTTCAGGTATGGCCTTACATATATATATATCGCCAAATGAGAACCGAAGGGAAACCTCTGTACTGCTAATCTGTTATAATTTCTTCCCCGGAGAAGAAACAAAAAAAATAACAGATTGTAGTATAAGAGTTTGGATCCTTTCGGGAGCTTGCTAATATGTATGTATGCAAGGTCCCCTCCGAGGCAAAATCGTGCGAGGGTTCCCGGCCTATACCAAGGTCACCCTTCACCTTCTCCCTAAGTGCTTGCCGGATCTCGCGATGTGCTACTTGTGGAAATGAGGTGCGACAACTTCGAAAAATGCCTTATATATTGATCTGACGGTGGCGACCTCCGGCATAATCTGGCAAAAATTGGCCATATAATGCCATTGAACGCCATGGCAGTCTACCGCTTTTTGCGGCATACTGCGGCCAAAGCTGGCCGCATCATCCGCAACAAAGTTGCGCTATCCAGAGCGGTGCGGAGCTGTGAGTCACCGTGCGGTGCCGTGCGGTGCTGCACAGTGCGGTGCGGTTTGGTGTGGTGAGGTGCTGTGCATACTACTGCCAGTACTGGCGCCCTCCTTGTGTCCGACCTGTCCTCCTGTCCAGTCGCTCAACAGATTACAAGCCTGCCTGATCGAACATACCTTCAGGAGCTCCATCACGGAGCGTCAATTGATTTCCTTTGACCACAGTGGAGTTGCGCACAGCATTCAAGCTTTCAGTTGAGTGTGCCAGCTGCCAAGGGCAGGGAATGGCTGGACGTTGCCACGTTGGGTGGCGGCTGCAACTCACGGTGTCCACTGCTTTCTGGGTCAGCAACTTGGCAATGGCGCATTGTGGCAGTTGTGGAAGACTGCAAATCAGGTTGCAGGTGCCCCAAATCCCAATATCTCTTCAAACAGCAGAGGAGCATTTTGGGGAGTGGTCCATGAGAAGCTTACAAGTGGGCAATTCAGAGAGAAGAGTAGCTCGGCTAAGCGCCACAGCCGCATGCAAGGGGCAGTTTGAAAACTGGCAGATTGGAGGTGAGTTTCCAAAGTGCCCTCGCTTCTCTCTGTTTGCTGATTGCCCCCGCTAATGTTCTGATTGTTTGCTTGCTATTGGGCTGATCGGAACTTGCTGTGGAGCTCAATGAGAGCTTGCTCAGGCTGATCTGGGGCCAGCTGACTGGGTGAGCTGAATTGGGGCTTTCAGTTGGAGCTTTTGGAGCCCGCTGACTGCTGTCGGGCTGACGTGCGGGTTGCTTTGCAGGTCTGCTGCGCGGCTTGTTAGCGGGCTCGTGGAGCTGCTTGGGGGGCTGATTGCTCTCTTGCTGTCTAGGCCACTCACAGGAACGACGCACCACTCTTGTGTGAGGCTGCTGGGGGCTGATTGCGGACGCGCTGCAGAGCTGATCGCGCCCCTGGTGGGGGCTGATTGCAGGTATGCTACAGGGTAACTGTGGGCCCGCTGCGAGTTAACTTTGGGCCCACTTTGAGATTCGACGTTTGCCAGGCCCAAATGTGACGTTTGGGCTATGGTTAAGTCTAACCACTCAAACCCACAGATCTAAACGACGCTCACCCATTCAATGGGTACGCGACGCGTGTCAATCTAAGTCCACTGTCTATTAGTGACACGTGGCATAGTATTAATTAGTCGAAGTAATGTTCGATATTAGTCATTATTGGATATGTCGACTAATGTTAGTATGTAGAGCTACGAGATAAGTATGTCTTTTGCGTGACCATGATT